CGCTACCTATTACATGGGCATTTGGAATAGGTTTTCATACACTGATTTTTTCATTGTATAGTTGCGGATATGTATTCCCTGAATCCCCTTTCATTTGTCCTGTCAATTTTAAGGTTGACATTTGTCAGATAACTGCCTAAAGCATAGATGTAATACATATACAACAGTAATTTGATCTATACTAAACCTCTACACTAAACTCACATCAAACACCGTTTATTTTGTGTACGAAGGGGGTTAAGGAAATTGGTTCCGCAAATAAACAAATAAACATACATTTCATACTTTTAAGACTGTGGTACAATAAAGGGAACTACAGAGAAAGACCAGTTGATAACATGCAAATTTTTTCATTTCGTTTCTCTAAATGCACAGAACAGCCTCAAGAGAGACAGTGGAATCGACTGTTAAATAAAACTAATTTCCATACAGGTTTTCTTTCACTCTCCCTAAGAAAAATATTTACTATAGGATTACTAACAACTTTCTAAATGCAGAGGTTATATGCACTGTAATAATCACACATCAGATTATGTACCTTGCCTTTCTTTCTTGATCTTAGCTCTTTCGACTTTTAAAAAGAAAAGTACAAAAGACAAGTATTTCAACTTTGGTTCCATATAAATCAGACCTTAGTTTTTACCTTATCATGTTCATCTATGGTAACGTCTGATGAAATGATTGTCTGCAGTTTTGTCATTCTTAAGCATTTGAAAATATTCTAACTTCGTATGATTTCAGAAACCAAAATAACCATTTTCATATAAACATCAGATTTGTTTTAAAAATACTTCACTATTCTAGATAGTGTAATCCTTTAACGCGAGGAAACCAAACCCACAGTTTTGTAAATATTCTATCCAATTTTGAAACAAAATGAAAACAGTAACCACCTACAAACCTGAATTTCATAAATACTCTGGGTGCCATTTCAAATCATTTATTTCTTAAGCAAAACAAAGCATGCACTCCTATTTGAAAATACCCAATTCTTTGGAAGACATTGTTAAAACTATATATTCATAAACCTAAGTACAATAAAATGACCAGTGATGAGATGAAAACCATTTTGCCTATTATATCTACGTTTACATCATGAGTGTTGATCAAGTATGATATTCAGAATTAGCCATGATCTGTAAAAATGACATTAAATCTATGTTTGCCATGGACCATCAGTTTTACAAAGATTCTTATCCTAGTTAACTTTCTTCAGATAGCCAATCTCTCCACAGCTCTCACTATGAAAAATATCTCTAAGGTTGTAATGAATAGCTCAGTATTTACTGTACACATTTTAATTACCATAAGGAGTTTCCTGGCCTCAAATCTGGGTTTTTGAAGAACTGTAGGATCATAAATTAGTATTACAACCACTCACATTGTGTTTGTCTCAGATTGGCTACTCTAAATGGTTAATGGTTATTCGTAAGCATCTGATTCTTAAGTGAAACCAGGAATCAATAATACAAAAGATTCATCAGTGTAAAGCAGCGTTTGCAGTCAATTAACATATCAAAATGTGTATGCCAAATCTGTCCTTTTTTTTTCACTAACCAATTTGTACTACTGTTCTTGTTTTTGGTTACTAAGCCATACCTTTGTAGAATTTTTGGAGAAGGGAAATGTATACAAAGTTATAGTATTTTATCGTTTTTCAGTTCATTTCAATAAAAAGTAACAGACAACTTAATAAAAGATATTTATCATAAACAAAAGGTGCATTTTGGAAGCCTATCATTATAGAGCTGAAAATAAAATCTACATATTTAGGTCCTTAGAAATATCAGGCCGTTTACACAAGAAAAAAATAAATAAGTCTGTGACAGCATGTGTAAATTCAAGTGCAAGGATGAAGAAAGAGCCAAGACATTTTTCTGACAACCTTATGCACACAGGATTGCAGGCTCACTAGCTCAAGAGTCACACATTTTGTCACATTTGTATTCCTATAATGCCACACAAGACACTCATTCAATTCAAAAAATGAAATTATACGAAAATAAAACCACAACTTGCTTCCATACATCTTAAGGAAAGAAAAAGCACTCAAAATTGTTATTTATATTACTACATCTCCTTGCACGAACACTTGACATATATTTGTCACAGAAAAATCTTATGCCCCCTGTACAAAACTTAGATTTTATATGGTTCTAATTGCATAAAGTCAAGAAATATTCAATGTTCCTTTTTACTGAAGTACTATATTACCAAAAACATGCAGCTGATATTCACAATGTATAAAAATTCATGTCTCGTTCTAGTCATCTTATACCCTTGTGCGAACTGCTTATCTAGGCTATTCCAATATCACTTATGGAGAGTAGTTCCATCTGGGTTGAACCCTCAATATATATTTTGCCAAATCACAATATTGCTCACCACTGCCGTCATTAAATATTTCAATCTGCGTAAATGTTGACAGGAATTTTATATACAGTTACTTTATACTTGTGCTTTTACAAAGGATGAAACCACTGGAATGTTACATAAAAATTCCCAATTAGGCTTCAAGTAAATGGGTGTAGACAAAATGTAAATTTACCTATGTCATCTCTCTCACACCTGCAATAGTTTACTGCTAGTCTTCTAACTAGTCTTAGAATGCCAAAAGGCACTACTGTACATGAACTTAAGCATCAACCAATATTCTTCTTTTTTCTGTTCTCCAATAAAATGTATCAAGCAAAGTTCCTAAGGTGCACACCCCACCACATACAATTCACAGTTTTCTGGAGGTGTTCCAGACTGATTCTATGGGCATTGCTTTTTTGGGATAGGTTAGACACAAGCCTTTCTCAAAGCAGTTAGGATGTTATACCCCTTTGTTCTATTCAGTTTCGAGACACAATGAAAGTATACATGCAAAATTGTCCTTAGAAGTTGTATTGATAAACTCTCTGCAGAAGGTATCAAATAGATGGGGAAGCCAGTCGGCTCTAAGTGTTGCAGTGGGAAGTGCTGGCTCTCCACTCGCGTGAGAAGCAGCACCACTCTCCAGACCCCTGCCCTTAGGCTGGCAGCTGAAGCTTCTTTCCCTGTAACACTGTGAAGAAACAAAATAATTATTCATCAAAACATAATCGCAGCAACATTAACTAGCAGCCACATTGAGTTCTTGTGAAAACTAGATTTCCTCACACAGTGAATTGTTTTTCTTATAAAGAACATTATAGTCTCAAAAAGTCACAATGTCAACTTTAGAATTAGAGAACATGGTAAAAACTCATTGGCTCAAATAATCATTACAACAAACATATATCCCACAGACCCTTTACCATTTCTATTCTTTCGAATCAGATATTCCATCTTTCTCAAAGATTCAATGCAATACCTAAACTGAATATAATAACATCTTATTTTTAAACAACTAAGGCAGTAGCTTCTTTCTAGTTTCAAGACTAAATCTAGTAAACTGTATATCATATGAAAGCATTACCTTTTGTAATGTAAAGGTAGAAGAAATCACAGTAGAGGACCGTCTGCACAACACCAGCAACAATGGCAATCAAGTCATAGAATCCTTCCGCGTAATAACGGTAGACCTGGAATGTCAGAGAGAACAACAGTCATACAGATACTAAAATAAAAAATATATATATCTATATATAACAGTGAATGAATCTTCTTGAAGGTCTAAAGGACATGAAAAGACATCATTTAATCTTCAACCACACATTATCACACCAACTGCTGAATCTGGTACATCATCTCACCCAATTGAAGATGTACAGAGCACGGTATGAGCCCAATGCAAACAGGTAATGAGAGGTGATGCTCTCAGCTTCACCAGTCTTTGACACCATGAACAGCTGTGGAAGAATAGCTACAGCCTCAAGGTAGATGCTGAAAGTCCACAGGACCTGAAAAAAATACAAATGTTGAGTGTAAACGGACAAATCGTTTATCTCCATAAATCTAAATTTATTAATTACTGACACAAGCATGCTGGCACATATGCATACCAAATTGAGATTGGTGTGAAGACCCTCTAAAAAATTAGGACAAAATCACTAACTGAAGAGTTCCCTGCTCCCCACACCTAGGCACAGACCAATTTAATTTTCCTCTTCTAGTATGGGTGGCTATCATTTTCTTTCCTTTCATATCACATGGTTCAATACTCTCTTCTGAATGAGTACATATACACACAAACTAGTTACATTAATAATAACTTCCCTCTTATAACTAGTTCACTGGACCATATCTATGACTAAAATCTTGCCTATACATTCTTCAATTTACACCAATACAGCCTAAATACCTTGCTTAAATTTCAATAAATTTGAGTACATTCACCCATTCACAACAGGTGTCCCAAATATGGGAGACCCGAAAAAAATCAACATTGTCGGGCATCCCGCCAGTTTGATGCTGTATCGGGGCTCGCGCTCCAACGCAGCAGCGGGCCGCGGCCGGCAGGCGGACAGACTCCGGGAAAGCTCCACCCACCGATTTTGTAGCCGCCCAGAATCTTTTATTTTTGGCTTCAAAATATACCGGCGTTAATGGGTTAAGTGCATTGACAGCACAATCATAAAGCTCTGTTCTTTGAACTACCTCTCCATTATAAGCAATATAAATAAATGAAGAGACCAAATTCATAAAAATATACTTTAATGTAAAATACAGCCCTCTGGACCAAACGTATTTTTTTCATTATTCTCATTTCCACATGGATTGTTCTTACACTGAAAATTTACAAACCAGTTAAGTTCACTTACACTCCTTTTAACTTCAAAAATGGAAAAATAATTATACTTGATAATTAATCCTGTCTGATAACTGATCTACAAAGTCCCTTTGCCTAAAGGTAAAATAGCTAGTTCTGACCATGGTATCCATAACCCCAGCCAATACCAGTTGGGGGTACCGTTTTCAGATGCAAGAGACAAAACCTGGTGGTTTGCATGTTCCCAGTGCAGCAAGGTGACCAAGGAACTGGACTGTTGTGTACCAACAAAGACAAAATCTATAGAAAGACTTACCTCCAGAGGAGCATAATCATGATTGATGAGGAGAGACAGGATTACTGTGGGAACGAGCAGGAACTCAATGCGGAAGGTGTCGTGGTTGTGATCATAGGTGGCCTTGAAGCGTACATACATCAGATACAGCGTTGCAAATGAGGTAGCCAAGAAGATTACCTGTAATGTACAATCAAATTTCAGTTGCCTTCTTACAGATATTAACACAGTGGTGATAGGTTTTTCTTGCATTGAACCAAACCATACAAACGAGTGTGCACGCAGTCAACCAATCAAGGGGAGAATTAGAATTGTGTAATACATGGCTACTCTATGCGCATCTGGCTGCAGGATACAAGTTTTTCTGGTAACTGAGTCTTAAACAAAGCTTTAACCCTACTCTTGAGGGGCTTTAGCTCCTGACCAGCTGCACCTTGAGCCAAACAACTGTTTAGTGCACACAACCTGCAGAGGTTAACTACCACCCAGCCATTGGGCTGAGTTCGTTATGGCAAGAATGAATGCAGCCAACATGTGGCCAAATAAAATTTTATTATTATCCATTACCTACCTAACTATATTTTCTTTTAATATAAGTCAACTTGTAAATATAATATTTAGTGCCTTCCTGCTATCAATTACAACTTTATGAATTAGAACTAAATATACATCCCCCCCCCTATTGTAGCAATATCCTTTTCTTACATAAGCTATCATTTTGCTGTTAAATAAATCCAAATCAGTTGACTAGTATCAAGAAAAAATAATTCCTTGAAATTATTAATGACTGCACATTCTACAGAATACACAACAGAGGTATGCCTAGTAAGCTAATAAAGAAATAGTTATTCTTACAAAATTATATATCACTATGGAAAAACTTAGGTCCATTGTTTTGTGACTACTTACCTTCATAGACGAATTATAGAGTGAGATGTAATTGGTAAACAGATCCAAGTAGCGTGTAGTGTAGGTCAAAGTGAAAAGCAGCTGTGATTTGCCAGATATACCTGAAATGGTTGAAAATAATTTTTATAATCTGCTCTGCAACAAAACAAGTCATTCATGCATTTTCCTTATTTGCTGTCACAAAACTTATTTACTCAAACTACCTTAGTAATTATCACTGCCAGCTTTATTTAAAATCATCTTTATTTTACATATTTTTTACACAGAAAAACTGAAATATAACTGCAACTGAAAAATACTTCTACGAGCAAGAAATCTCTAACTGCTCCTACAGTAGATGCGCTGAAACCAAAATTTCTGACCAGCCTTTAAAGGTTAGGGACACAATATTTGATTCCCCCCCCCCCAAAAAAAAATCCTATTTTGCTATTATTATCATCATCCTCATATTCATCAACAACCCTCTCATAACTGTTTTGACCATTACAATTTTTTAGTTTCTCTAGCTCTGTGCACTACACAGTCATGAAGTTTTATAGATCCGTCAAAACTCCAGCTACAACCTTGCAGTTGGACTAAATCCAAGTGTTTCATTGTTTTACTAAATAACAATAATGGGCTTTTACAGATCTAAGGGTAAGAGGTAGAAAAAAGATTCCTGGCACTTCAACCCATTAGCTCATGCAGGAAAAGGAAGATAAGGGCCACCTTCCCCCCTGCACGCATACTGTCATAGTCAATTGTAGCCACATTTCTTGCTCACTAGGCAAAGAAGTCTAACCTTGCTGAAACTGCACTCTGGCCAAGAGAAAGGTTTCAGTCTGCTCTTGGCAATAATGTCAATGATCCAAGACCCAGCAGGTCAAGAAATGGTGGGGTTAGATTAATTATGATTTCCATTAAAGGGCTGTGCTCTTGAGAAATACCTTATGGGGTCCTATGGACAGAGAGCAGATAGGACCTAAACCCATACTTATGCTGGGTTTTAGGGCCTGGCATGCCAATAAAATCTAGAGAAACAAGTGCAAGAACGAAATGAAATTACTATGTATATGTCATCCCTCTCCTGGGAAAAAGGTCAACACTGAAATTAAGAAAATGTTAACTGAATTATGATGATAATTGCTCACACTAATTTGGAAAGAAAACAGCAGACAACACAATGGAAAAATTGAACTGGATTCCATAGACCATAAGACTAGCTGGATTGGGATGAGCAGAAAGGACAGGGTAGGGAACATGATGCGAGCTTCACCAACCAACAGGCTCAAGGGTCACGTAGCTATTCCGTAGATATTACGCATTGATAATGCCAATAATCTTGGAGACAAGCTTGGGAATTCAAGGTTTTGAGTAGAGGGTAATTGTTACTAGGAATGATACACCCTCCCAGAGACTAAGTCAAAAATCATTTATGTTTTTCTGCAAGATATCCAATGATTTCAATGTTTCTTGTTGTTGTTTCTTGAGTGAATAAATTATTTAGGAGATCTGAGTGCTATTTCTCCATCAACAATCTAGATTTGATAGTCCCCATAGCAGGGGAGGGCATGAAATATATCAAGAAAATTATCAGGTAAAAAAAAAATAAAAAATAAAAAGAAAGGAGAACATAAATGAATAAAACCAGCATAAAAACTCTTGAAACAGCTCTACAGACATGCTCACCATCTTTGAAGTTTTAAGGACTGAAGTGCCAAAATCCAAAAAGTCTATGGGAATCCAACCCATCTTTCAATAAAATCTACAGGAATTCACACCATCGAAACCCAAAAAATGTCCTGCCCGATAAACCAACCTAACTTAACAATCTAAGTTTCCTTGACTAGGTATGCCCTACAGGCCTGCCCGAGGGGAGGGTTGATAGGTGGCTCTAACACCTAACATCCCCAGGAAACATTCTCTTCACTTTAATATGTACAGTAAGATAGAGCTCCGTCCATACCATAAAATATCGACCAAATATCTTTATATCTGGAAACACTATACTTTCCTTTGCTTCTTTCTTCTGTCTGGCTTGCCATGCCCATAGTTGTACAAGTTTGTTTATTGTTTTTACACACAGATGGCTCTACAAGTGCTTAGTCACTGTGTAGTGAGTTATTAGTCCTTCTTATCTCACCTGTCAACCCTTACCCATGAAACAATTTGATAATCATAATATCAATAAGGAAAAAACAGTATCAATATGAATTGTGTTAGAAGTGAAAACATTTCCTTACCATTTCAAGAAATGGGTAAGTCAGAGGTGATCATTAGGACTCCTTGGTGGATGAGCGCATGTGCAGCCATCTGTATGTAACAAAATTCACAAAAAGCTACAAGGGACAGTATATAAATCTAGGGTGGTTGGGATAATAACCCAGAATTGATGCAACACTGAAAACTAAACATTTCTCACCGGCTTCCTGTCATGGAACGGCAGCTATGGGCCTGTCAAACCTGGCACTACGAAAACACACATGCGCAGAACATTATTGTAAAGAACTGTACAGGTAAATTTTAAAACAGGCTAAGGAAGTATAACAACATGAATACTTCATATATCTCAGTAATGAGTTAGGCAGTCAGTGTTGTTTTTCCTCACAAGGTAAACCATAAGGATCAACCACAATGAAATTTTGCTTGACACCTGAAGTTTGAGAACACTGAAGCTAATGTGTTCTTCATATACATATATCAAAGGGTAATTGTTTACAAAGTGACTGCACCCCTCAGAGACGAAGTCCGTATTACTCCAGCCACTCCAGGGAATACACTTAACATAACTGTTTGAACCAAACCTTTCTTATCCCCGGGATTTCACTCCCACATCTGTACCCGTTCGTTGCAAAACCTGCGCAAATTTGGCTAATGAAACTACTGACGTGCCCACCACCTTCGAAATTCTAAGGACTGATGCACCAAATTTCAGGAATCCAATTCATCTGTTGGTAAAATCTTACTAATATCCAAACCCCCTCAAAAACCATCCTGGCCAATAAACCCAACCTGACCTAAGAATCTACGCTGCCGTGACTAAGGGTGCAGGGTTGATGGAGAGCCTGCTCCCTAACACCCCCCAAGAAACTTTCTCTTCACCTCAATATGTGCGTTCACTCCATAAAATACTAAACCAAATACCTTTACATTTAGAAACATCAAATTTTTCTTCACTTCTTTCTACTTTCAGGATTGCTTCATTTTTATTCACTTTTTTTCCAGCATCCAGGTCACTTGATGGGCTCAGATAGCAAACTGGGAAGATTAATAAAACCTATTTCTTCTTTGTTGCCACTGTATAGTATTAACCCATTTATGACGGGTGTCCCACATATGGGACACCCGGAAAAAGAAAAAATTGCCAGGCATCCCGCCAGTGTGATGCTGTATGAGGGCTCGCGCTCCGACTCTGTGGCGCCAATTTTGTAGTCGCCGGAAAATTTTATTTTCGGCTTCAAAATATACCAGCGTTAGTGGGTTAAGAATAACCCAGATCATGCAACTCTGAAAAAACAAGACATTTCTCACACGCTTTCCTTTCAGCAATTTAGACTGTTAAGAGTGAATAAATATAATGAAAAAAAAAAAAAAAATGAATAAATAAAATACCAACAACAGATAGAAGACGAATAATAATGAATAACAATATAATGAGGAAAGGAAAGGTATAAAGAAATATGATAAAATAATGGATTACAAAATTACTAAGTGTTTCCAGGTTGCTTGATACTGATCCACAAAAAGTGTGACCTATTTAGAAAATGCACTTCAGAAAATGGATTAACAAAAAGCGACATAAGGAGAAACGAACTTATAGAAAATGTAGACATAAAGAAAGAAATCTTGCTGCGTGAGGGTGCTGTGGACTTGGTCTGTGAGCTGTGATGTACAATGGACATTTTCTTCATTTACCAGTAAAGATGAGGCCGCTGCAGCATAAACTATGTTGTACCTTACTCTATTTCTTACGCTAAAAGATGACAGAGTCCAACTCCCTCTAACTCCGTATGTCCCCCTTGGTAACTTATACCCAATGTTGGCATTCCGTTTTTATGCTTTATAATTTAGTTTGATTGATGATAATGATTTAGTACTATGACAAATAGCACAATTATGATTGGGTGATATGGCCATCATATATTTCTCTTATGTAACAACTTATATTAAAAAAATAATTTTTCTTAATATTCAAAATTTTTCAACATTTTAATATAGCTGTCATGTGATTGTGCTATCTTGCATGTTCTCATGAAAAGAATATTAGTTAGGCGATTGTTTACGAGTGACTTTAAGGCTGGCACTTATTTCTATATATTTAGTTGTGTATTTTGCGCATTGTAAACTTCATATACTTATGAGTTACCTCTGATTTAGCGTGTCTCTGACAGAGCCTCAGGTGATTTCATACTGATAATCATTACATGCATAACAAATGTAGATAAGTAAAAGCATATTCTTTCTAATTCACAGTCCAAGCCTGAGGAGCATTCATGCGGCCAGGCAAGATCCCCAGACACTGTTGACCAACTGTACGTCCCCAATTAAATTAGCCTGTTGCCATCAGATTTTCTAAAACTAAACACTGTCAATATATGTAAACGTATACCTATCAACGTATTACAAAAAACCCTCAGTTCTGAAAACCTAAGGTGACTGACAAACCCCAATCAATTCCCTCAGAACGATTCCTGGCACGAGGACGCGTGGACCTCGCAGAACATAAATTTGTCTTTTAACTCCCTCGACACACACGCTCTGGCCTTCTCTACCTCGAAGACAAACCTCAAAATCAAACGTCAAAAACATCAAAAAAAAGGTGGTTTTCGACATCCTTTCCAAACAGTGAACATGACCAGAAGGAAACGAACTTTACGTCACCCTCTTGACTTTGCATAATATTGAGACGTGTTCAAGTTCCATTCAGACAAGACTCAAGAATTGGCCTTCCTTCGTTTCCCAAATTGGCCTGAACCTTTTTTTTCCCGTGTTCTAACGCAGGTCACAGAACACATGCTTGACTCCTGCCTTCTGGGTCGTGAATGAACAAAGCAAAAAAAATAATCGTGATAAAACGGGGAATTAAGGGTACAGGGAGATGGCTGACACTTTCTTTATTACTGGTCTCCAACGGGCGAGAGTTCAGAGTGCGCCCTGGGATGATAGTCGTCGCCGTTCGACGTTCACGGAGGGAAATATTTCCCTTTGAGAAACGGAACATGAAAACGTCACCTGGTCGGGTCATCAACGCCTCTTGGTAAACAGACCGGGTTCCCTCTCGTCTTTCCCGTCTCTCGGGGCGACCTGCAGCCTCTAAGCCACGTACCTGCACATGATCGACTGGTCCAGATCTTCAGCAGCAAGATAATAATAGCCAGTAAGTGGGAGATATCCCCAGCGAGCCTGAAAATGTTCATTTCGTCTCCGTCTCACGCGCTGTCTCTCACGGCAAGTGACGTGGCTCCTCGCGCTGCCTCTCTCCGCCGCCAACAGATGGCAGCACGCGCGGCGGCTCGCTCCGCTTTTACAACTGTCACTTTCGCGATATTTGGGGGAAATTATTTTCGAGGGGTTATTTTTGGGTGGAGGAGAGGGTTTTGGGATGGGGAAAGTGGGGCATTTCAGGAAAATTGGGAGTATTATGATGGGTACTGTGGGGTGTGTGTTTTATAGAGGTTTCAGAAGGGAAAAAAGATGTCGTTGAATGTCATGCTCATTGGATACATTGTTGTTATACTAGTCCCTATCTATGATTTAATAACATTAATCATATCTGTAAAAAAAACTAGCTTTACAGTAAGATATGCCTGAAATCACAGAAATCTGCCTGGCCCTTGGTCTCGCGAATCGGAGTGTTCCAGCTGTCTCGTAGGCGGCGGGTGAACTTCATCGCCATCCGAGCAATAATAAATAAGTTGCTGTCAGTCACTACTTAACCCATAAAATACTTAAATTTCAGGATAACATGCACTAAGAACTGACAGTAAAAAATGTAGCGAAGAATCAGATTTAACAAAAGAGATATTACCTTTGATTGTTTCATGAGTTTCACCATTATTGTAAATAAAATAACACATTCTTTATGATAAAGACTTTAGGTAATATTTAAGACCCTTTCATAGTTCCTGTGAAATATTTTTTATCCTTAAATGGATCAGTAATATATGATAATCAGTATTAAAATCGGTGTCAGATGCACTATAATGCACCTGTTGATATGAATGAAATAAAATCTGTCTGCTGACCTATTTCAAAACATATTATCTAACAACACAACCTATAATCCGAGGAAAAAAATAAAATAATAAAGGAAAACAGGCAACGGAAGATGTTTATTGACCTTTGACTGCCACCATGCCCACCCTCATACCCACCCTCCTCCTCTTTCCCATATACCCCTCAGGCGCAGCGAACAGGGTACGTGGCACACCCGAGGCCCATATTTTTGACCCTCGAGAAATAGGATAAACAGACTCAAGGAAACTCGCCCTGAAATATGAGAAAGAGCGTGGACCAATAGCATCCCCGCACGCAAGGCAGAAGTTATGATGCAAATTCCATGAACGTGGCCGGTCGCTCACAACCCTCGGGTTATATATACGAGTATTGTAATAACGAGAGATTAGAACTGTACAAAAACTA